CCCCAAAACCCCAAAACCCCAAAACCCCTCAATACAAAACAACACTGAAGAGTTTTACTTTACAAAATTAGGAACCTCTTGAAAGGGAAGATACAATAGGGATATCTTCCTTCTTGGCGTTTTTCAGCTTGAGCATTTTCTAAAAATTAACTCTATTACTTACAGAAATAGTTTCAATGGCTGATTCTTCATCTTCAATCTGTTTTATCTTCTTGGCTTTCTTAGTCTTCTTAGCTGCGGCTAAGGAACTTCTGGATCTCTTCTTGCGGGGCTTCTGGGATTTAGTGCTTCTTTGCTTCCTAGTTGATTTCCTTTTCGGTTTGGATTTATTAGATCTATACAAGAGAATATTAGTAAAAATTACTTCTTAGCAGCTGGTTTGGCAGAAGGCTCCTTTGACTTCTCTTCTGATTGCTCCTTGATATTCTGGAGTTGCTGTTGAATACCTTTCTTAATATCTTTGAGATCTTGGTGAGGAGCAGCTTTTAAAAGATCGTCACTTGAGTTATCATAGTTGTTGACATCACTCTTTGAAGACTCTTTCTTAAACTCTTTTGTGTAGCAATCACTCTCTCTGGTACCTATGGGATGTTAGGATTTATAGTGAAAATCTTACTGTCAAGCTCTTCATGTCTTTTGGAAATTTGCTTTATCTCTCGCTTTTTGGAAGTATTCTCGTGAGAGGAGGTATCTCATACTACTATTCCTGCAGAAGGATTAAGAGATTGGGTATGGTCACGGATTGCTTGAAATTGGTTCTGACTTAGTGAATTCAGGTTGTTGGTTGTTGGATTACTGTCACTAGTGAAAGCTTTTGTCGGATCCCATTGCAATGAAAAGCCACTGAAAAGTGGAAGATTTACCAAACTCATCGGCTCAGCATTCTGATTTGTAGAGTTAGGATAAACAGTATTCTCTATCATTTGAGATAAAGGAATGCTTTGAATTGGTATCTTTTCTGCTATATTAGTTAATTTAGATAAATTTTCAGTAAACTTTAAAATACTTTCTTCAGGCTTTTTAATCTCTCTCATGATCTCTTCATGACTTTTCATAACCTTGTTGAACATATCACTGAACTTGCTTTCAAGATCTTTTAGCTGCTGATTAAAATTGAATATCTTTGAAGTGTGACTGGAAGCTTTATGGATTTCGGATATGATCTCATCCTTGGCTCTTTGGAAGGAGATTAGTGGGATGGAAGGGAAGTGGGAGGAGGCAGGGGAGGATCTGTGTGTGGAGGGTTTCTAGGGGGTTAGAGGGGAGGTACTCGGGTGAGGTGGGGGATTTGGCGGGTCGAGGTGAGGAAGTAGCGGCTGGAGGAGGAGTACATAGAATGTGGAGATTTTAAAAATTTAGGAGTTCCACGATCTGATTTCTTCCTTTCACTCACTATACTAGACTTGGTATCACTCTGCTGGAATATTTGACACTGAACCGAGTGAGTTGATGCTTCAGGTGGTTTTAAAATACATTGCTTTAAATTTTCTCTTCTTGATTTCTTTGGTTTCTGACTCTTAACTAACTTTCTTCTTTTGACTCGACTCTTATCATCCTCATACTACATCAAGGTAAAAGTTAGTTAAATTCTTGGCTTAAATTTAAACTAAAATACCTTAATCTCAAGAGTTTTTGATCGATCCAAAGCCTTGCTTTCATTCTATACCCTCAATCAATCCTTATACCAATTCCTCTTCATTCTTAATATTACTTTTCTTAGCTTCAGCCTCTATATCTCAGATTTAAGTCTAACTTGACAGTAAAGATTACTCCCAAAAATTTCATATTTGATTACCTTTCTCTTTGCATTCATCAGTTTTGGTGCCTTTGGCTGAATCATCTAAAATAAATCAGCTTGTTTTACTCAAAAGTCAACTTTTTCTGCTTCTCCTTTTCATGCTAAATTTTAACTAATAATTTAACGAATATGAATTAATAGGGGTTTTGGGGTTTTGGGGTTTTGGGGAGAT